AATTTGGAATACACTGCCTGTAATATAATATATATATATTATATATATATATATAATATATTGACGTTATAGTTATGTACCTTATAGCGTCACAAGCACAATGAACACACATACATGCAGCGCACGACTGCACGCCACAGAACTAACGCCACAATATGTCTTCAAAGTAAACAATACCAAGTTTGCCTTCGAATATGCCAACCACTAATTGAGACGGGATACTTTAGAGCAAGCGTTGCCGAAAGGAGGATGTTGATGTCCGAAGTGCCCTGCCAAACAGATTCAGAAGGCCGACACGCGACCGCGGAACGCTCTCTACGACGAAGTATTCAGCGCTGACAGCTATGGTATCCTGCCCCGCCGAAACTGCACTATGTGGCCGCGCACGGAATCCATAGCTGCGCCACGCGAGCAGTCGACGTAATTTACCGGCAATACAATGAACATGCTCAGCTGCATTGAGCGTGCTGTTCTTTCACAAGTCTAATGAAAATATCATAAAAGTGTCAACATCCATTTCTACTTCTACACCTGTGTTCTATAATTTTATTCCATGAATGGTATTCTTAATTAGCAGTCAGCGCTTCATGTAACGAAGGGCCAGGTTGCAGGAGTACATAAGCTGCGGTTTTATGAATAATAAACATCGGAAAGTAATACGCCTCTATTCATCGTAAATATAAATGTTCACGCTATATACAAGAACAATGACGACTTAATATATCGACAAATATTGCTCTAATAGGGGACATAGGCTCCCGATATGATCTGTGAATGTGTCGCGTGTTAGATTAAACATACTTATGGCTTACGGTCATGACTATGTGGAAGGACAGTAACATTATACATTTTGTTAACTGTCACGCGATTTTGTGACTTCTTCTAAAATTTCCTAATGAAGCATTTTAAAAGCACACTGACGCCACGCACTCAGCGACAAGATGGTTGCTGATAACTTGAAAGATCAGCTTTTCAAGAAACTACACCAAGCTGTCTGTTACGGTCTTCAACTTGATGAAACGACAGATGTAGCGGGCGAAGTGCAGTTGATCGTTTATTGCCATATCCCCGACTTGGAGAAGGGAACTCTCGTCGACCACCGTGCTGTGTACCGGTAGAGTCGAAACCACTGCGCAAGCAATTTTTGACAAGCTGACTGAGTTCTTGGATGAAGGGGATGTGCAATTGGATAAATGCAAGGCTATGACCACAGACGGAGCAGCGGCAATGACTGGACGAGTGAACGGGCTTGTCAAAAAAACCAAGCTGTGTCGCCAACTTGCGTCGCCACACACTGTATGATTCACAGAGAAGCCTTGGCTGCAAAGCCGATAGGATCGGACAAGACCGAGAAGAATGAACTGGTACTGGAGGACGTTGTGAAGATCGTGAATGCAGTGAAAGCCAACACGAAGAAGCATCGGATGTTCAGTAAACTTTGCAAGGACATGGATGCCGAATTCTCGAAACTGCTCTACCACAGTGGCGTTCGCTGGTTATCAAGGGGGAAAGTGCTGAACCGAGTTCTGGCTTTGAGAGAAGAATTGACAGTATTTTTCACGGAGCAAGCAGACGAGAAGGCTGTGCTGTTTCAAGATGACTTTTGGGTTTCCAGGCTGGCCTATTTGGCTGATGTCTTCGGCCACCTGAACAAGTTGAACCTTGGACTCCAAGGAAATTGAGGCGACGTGTTCATTACGATTTCCAAGGTACACGGCTTCGAAAAGAAGATCGAACAGTGGAAACGGAAGGCTGAGAATGCTGATTTTTCGGACTGAGCTACAGACTTTCATGCGAGGATCCAACTGGTGGGTGATGGAGAACGAAGAGGAGTCGTTGCAGCAAGTAGTAACTAGATTGGTGGTCGACCACCTCACACTGCTTCAATCGAATTTCAACAAATACTTTCCCGAAGAAGAGAAGCAGAGAATTGCCAAAAAGCAGTGGATAATCAATCCTTTTGTGGCTGACGAAGACGAAAGATGTTGCAAACTGCAGACCGACCTCGTCCAGAAGGTTAACTTCAGAACTTTTGAGACATACAGTGACTTCTGGATATCACTGCTACGCATCCCTGAGTACCAGCAAATCGCTGAAGAAGCTTTAAGCGCCATCGTAGCAATGCCCAGCTCCTACCTTTGCACTGGTCTAGAAAGCACCTGGGAAGTGCGAATCCGCCGCACACGCGATCACTACACCTGTGATATTTTGTAGGCCGAGGTTGCTACTTCTAATGGATGACGTTGACCTTGGTAAAATATTACTCAAAATGATCATGTTCGAAATATACTTAATGACTCTGTGACCTTGACCTTGGGTCAAGGTCACTCAAAATCAATAGGGTTCTACCGCTCCATAAGATGCACCTGTGGACCAAGATTAAAGTTTCTACCTCCGGTTGCAAAGATATCGAGCGGACAGACACACACACACTAGAGAGAGAGAGAGAGAGAGAGAGAGAGAGAGAGAGAGAGAGAGAGAGAGAGAGAGAAAGAGAGATAAAAGGAAATGCATAGGATAAAAGCAAATGCATTAGTGCAATTACCCAATAATATAATAATAATAATAATAGCTAATAATAGGTAATAATAGGTAATAATGGGTAGGAGGTAAGTATTATTAGTTATATGTAACGTTTAACTTCAATAATTATACAATCAGTTGAAGCATTCAACCCAAATAATTGGTGTATGCTATTGTACCTACCCACGTAGCATAGCATACCACCTATATATATATATATATATATATATATATATATATAATAAGCCTATATACCTCTGTAACACGCCGTCCCACCTCACGCACGCCACTGCCTGTTTTACAGGACCATTTCAACGGCATTTGCGTGGAATTACTAGCCGATAGACAATACGTAAATATTAAGACTTTGTTCGTAAATACAAGCTGTATTTGTTTACCATTATTTTATTACTGAAAGTGCTTGTGCCCCCAGCAATATTCAAGCCAATTTATTTAGCGCATTTGGAGCCTTTGCATTTGGTGGTACATAAACAGCTGAACCGTTATTCCCAACGTATAACGCTGCCTAACAGTGTACTCAATATAACGAAGTTAGCCAGTTCTTTGATATAGGATATAATATGGACACCCGACTCGATAATGGACATATATGCGCTAAACGCAGAAGTCACCATTACCGCCTCCGGTTTCTTTTAGAACAAACGAATGAAATTATTCCCTACACAATACACTGTAAAGCCCCTCACTTTTCTCTTTCCTATTTGGGCATGTTTGTGTGTCCGGGGGGGGGGGTGTGTGCAGGTTTGCGCGCGTGCTTAAATTGAATTTTTTATGGTGTGTATTTGTAAAAAAAATTGTTGCAAATTTTTGACATGAAAAGTAAGTACTAACGGGACTAAATGTATCCTCAAATTCTTATCTGATAAGATTGTTTCTCAACTAGTTAAAAATCCAAAAAACCTGGGCGATTTGAAATATTGATCACGATATAGCTTGCTTAGCACGCAAATAGCTTGCTATGGGCTATGTATGGGTCACGATTGTTTGTTCACATCGAGCGGAATAGCAAAATAGGAAGTATAATGCAGCAATATTAAGTGCACGTCTATGTGTGTGCGTGCGTGCTTGTAGCTACAGATGAAATATCACGGTTCAAATCGCATGACTATACTAATCCCAAAGTGTGTACCTATTCTCTTATTTATGTGTTTATTTATGTGATAATTTATGCTCTTGTCTCAACATACGCAATGGTTACGCACCGCGGACTGTGTCCTTGGCTCGTCGGACTATGTTCAAGTGTCGCGCCTTCTGTAACTTCGTCATGTGCTTGTGTCCGTGCTCGAATCTCTGAAAGAAGGGGATGTCGATACCGCCGGCTATCAGCTGCACCTTCAACGTCTCGGCCGTTAGTTGCCAGCTGACGTCGGCCGCTGCCAATATGCCGACGCGCTTCCATCGCCAGCGGTGCATCACAGCGACGCCGATCGGCGCCACGCTGGTGAAGGGGCCGACGACACGGGCGAGTGTGTTGTACGCGTCCTTGTCGCTGAGGTGGTTCGAAGTGCAGCCCCACGACACGATGGGCATGTTCCACGCCGACGCCAGCAGCCCCGCCGTCTCGCAGACGACGTCGCAGCCCGGGCCGATGAAGCCGCGTATGTGGTCGGCGTGGCGACGCGACCACATGTTGACGATGGCGTGCAGTCCCATCTTCTCGTCGCATTGCGTGTCGAGCCACACGAAGCGCAGCGTGTTGTCGGGCAGCAGACTAGCGTTGGCGTTGATGTCGTCGATGGCGATCGTCGCGGCGGAGGCGATCGAGGGGCCAAGCGGGCGGGTGGCGCTCCACGGCAGCAGCACGCCGACGGTGAGCACATCTTGCTCTTCCACGGCATAGCACGCGCTGGTGATCAGCAGAGCGCCGACGACAACGATGCACGTCGCCGAACAAGCCATGATGGTGTGACCAGATAGTCGACACTCCACGCAATCAGTTCCTGCTGGGAGTATTTGCTACGAGCCTTACTTGATTATGTGTGCACACACGCACACACACACCACACATATATATTTAAATAAATAAATAAATAAATAAATAAATATATATATATATATATATATATATGTGTGTGTGTGTATATATCTCTCTCTCATATATATATATAGCTGGTCACATGACGCTCACGCCTGCGCACAAACATGAGGCGGGTATAGGATTCACGCCATGAGGTTTATGCGCGTTACCAACAAGAAGTTTGCCTCAGGGCGCAAGTCTCGTGCGTGTGAAGCAACGGATCAATGGTGTTCAAAGAGTGGCAAGGCTTGTGTCGCGTATATTCCCAAGCAGGTAGGGTGATATAAATTATAGAAAGCGTATCAGCATGGAACTATCAACCTGTAATCAGTGTCGGACTGTCGGTTTGACCTTTCATTCGCGATAAAACTTAGTCTATGTGGATGCAATCTGCTTAACATTGCTGATTTATATTAGCGTTTGATAATTATTCATTTGCGTTGCATCAGAATATATTAGTGAATCGAAGTAGCTCGTATTCGCTAACCAAGATTTAATTGTAACGTAAGCGGCAGCCGCATGGTTCCTTTTTGTGGAGTCATCAAAACCGTTTATCAAGTTCTCATATTTCTGTAAAATACTGCAGATCCTCGCGTTATCTACATGTTTAGATGTAACCGTGTCTCTCTTTCAGAAGAGGAAAATAAGGTAGAACATAAGGAGGAAAAAGAAGCTGAAAAACATAAAAGCGGGAAAATAAGGTATAACCGAACACTTGCAGTGTAGTGGGGCGCGTGATATGTTGACATTTTTTACTAAAGTGTTGCACTGCTGGAAAGAAGCATGAAAATTTGGCTCTAAGGGGGTTTTGATATGTGAAATTCAAAAGTTGCGGCGAAACACGATTGTCATGCCAACGGTTTCTCGCCAAAAAATCAAAAAATTAAAAACATGCCACTCAGAAAACATTGTTTTTTGCGCATAAATCAGTCTGTAAGTGCCCGATTATCATGATCTTGGCGTCTATACCTATGTTTTTGGAGTAAAGATTGCGAATAAAATCTTGTCAAATATCATAAGATATATCTTCCCGCTCAAAAAATTTAATCGAAAAGGCAGCTGCCGACAAACGACATTTCTTTGCCATAAAATGGCCATAGCGATCGTCCACGATTACCGAGGATCTAGGTATCTAACCAGTTTTTATGTCATGGAACCCGATGCGAAAACATGATATCCTACAATAATATTCAAATTAATACAGATAGCATATAAAATGTTGGTTTTGGTCAAAGAACTCGTTACAACATATGTGAAAAATCAGATGAAAAATAATGCATGTTTATAGCTTCAGCTTATAATTTCTGTACCACTTGAAAGGTACGCCTGCGTGCCCTGCCAAAACGTCATTCTGCTTAGATCACATGCGTGAACAAAAATATGATTGCTTATGTAGAGTCACTTGAAATTTTATTCAGTGGATGTCGCTCTTGACCACTAATCACTAATGCTCGCTGGGTATGACGGTTCACTGTGAGAGATCAAGTTGCCGCTCGCAGATTAACAGCCTAGCTCCACACATGCCAGAGTTTCTCAAGAGGCAACGTTGTGACACAGAAAAACCAATGACAAATTTCAGCATAGCCCCAATAGATCAGTTCAATTGAACAGCTGAATGCAATGGTGAAGGGAGATGGAAGGCGTAATAGGTAATCAGACTGAAAATGAACAGGCACTGAGACAGTAGATTGGTGGCAGTGGCCAGAAACGCTAGGACTATTAATGGGAGTATGTTGACAAACATTCAATTAAAAGGAAGAAACACAGAACGGCACACAGTGAACAATATCAAGTGTGAAGAAGCTTGCTTGATAAGCCAAACAGATAATTGTTCCAATAAGAGTAGGTGGTAGATTATATAAGGTCCGACAGAAGAAGGCAAAGCACGTACCAGAAATTTGTTGCGGGCATAATCATGGAACATTCACTAGCATTCAGATAACACCATACATAGGACAATCTGCTTCTGTTGAATCTTAGTTTAGGAAAAGAAACCTGCGAAGTCCACTGCCCAATATTTCAAACCTGCACATTATGTTCATCTCTTCTCACGGCTGCTAATATATCGTGTCAAGCTAAAAGAAATGATACGGATGTGCTTATTCGCACAGGAAATTCATGCTTGGCATCATCGTTGGCGCAAAATGGTATCTGCGCCAAAACAAGCAAATCTGAACTTGAGTGGATTGCTTTGAGTCATTGTACCACAAACGCGAATTGTGTCCAAATGTTGATGTCAAAATTGTTGACGGTGGCTGGCATTGTGCACATGTATGCTGACCCAAAAGTCCAACGTTTCTGCCAAAATCATTCCCTAACTATTACAATTGTGTTCTTTCCTATATAGAACAACATGCTATCAAGACGTTGTTCGTTGTAGATGTTGTCTGGATGTCCTACAGGGAGGACAGCCTTAAAGGCTCAACAAACACGACAGAGACCTGTGGATCTGGTAATCATCCCTGGGTGGACAATAACACCAAGATTCCTGGTTAACTGGGAAGAACTTTCTTTTTCTGTGATGCAACAAAGACAGCGTGTTCAACTTCTAGCCAATGCAATACAGAGTTTCAACCATCCTCCAAGAAGCTCGAGAAACTCACACATGGCCGGAATGCTGTATCATTCCATCAGCTGATCTGTCAGATTTGTTCTGCACTCTACGAAGAAGCAGACACAGGCTTTCGTTTTATGCTTCCCATTATTCCATCATGGTTTTACCAAGCGTGATGATACATGCAAGATACTGAGTGTGGTGTGTTATCGCAGTGTCAAGTGTTTTACATGACTGGGAAATATTGATAGCATCTGTCATCTGCATGGTCATGGTGCTAAACTACTTTACATCCAGTGCCACCTAATTGCAGCTGAATTAGACAACGATGCATCATGGGGTCTTCTATTCTTTCACGCAATATCAGGATACTGTTCCTGCCTTCCATGGAATTGGAAAGAGAACAGCTTGAGCTGTTTGGTGCAGTATGCCTTATCTCAAACCGATTTTTGCTCGGTTATCCATTCTCCCAAGCCAGGTATTCCCGACGACGTGGAGCAAATAGAGAGATATGTTGTTCTCTTGTATCAGCGAACATCAGCACTCAGCCATGTGAATGAAGCCAGGACGCAGTATCACTCAAAACCGTAAGATGGAAAACATTCCCCTAACGTTGCATGCCCTGGAACAGCATGTGAAAAGTTTATCAGGCAGGGCACAACTGGGGACAGTCACTTATAAGAGACCCTGAAGTTCCATCGCCAGATTTATGGGGCTTTGAGAGAGTGACAGATGATTCCCCATGGACTCCATGGGGAACCACTCTTCCAGAGGCAGCCAAAGCTAGGCAGGAACTGTTAAAATGTGGATACAAAAAGTCATGTACAAAAAGATGCAAATGTGTCAAAGCAAATCTCGAGTGTACACAGATGTGCTTCTGTTGGACAGTGTAACAGAGAATAAGCAAGCAAATCTGATCATATGAGACACTGACAGAGATCATTTAATTAATACATGATACACCATTGAATTGCTTTTACACGGCATACGCACGTGCCTTCTATTGCGTGCACTGCGTCTTCATGAAATCTGATGGAACGACGTTTTGGCGGGCGCGCAGGCGTACCTTCCAAAGTGTAACAGAAATTATGAACTGAAGTATAGATGGCATACATAAGTTTTTATCATAATTTTTCACGTGTTCTACCCAGTTCTTTGACTTAAAAAATACATTTTATATTGTTTTTGTTTAATTTGAAGATGTATGTTAGGATATTTCATGTTTTCCATCGGGTTCCTTGACATAAAAACAGGTACAGATAACTAGATCCTGGTAATCGTGGCACGTATAGCCATTTTATGACAAAGAAATGCGTTTGTGGCAGCCATTTTAGATTTAATTTTTTGCGGGAAGATGTTATGATAGATCACATTTGTTCTAACCCGTTCTATGGGGTGATTGACCTCAAAAACATATGTATATAGACCAGATATGGTACTTGGGGCACTTACAGCTGATTTATGAGGCAAAACTGTGTTTTGTGGCGGCATTTTTGAATTTTTCAACTTTTTGGGGGGGAAGATACATCTTATGATATTTGACATGTATTTTATTGCATTCTTTGACTCAAAAAAATAGGTATATACCACCAGAGCATGGTAATCGGGGCATTTACAGTTGATTTATGGGGAAAAACATTTTTTCTGGCGGCCATTTTTTAATTTTTGATTTTTTGGCGGGAAACGTTGAGTGGACATCGTGTTTCCCGCAAATTTTTGAAATCAGCATACTCAAAACCCCCTCGAGCAAATTTTCATGCTTCTTTCCAGAAGTGCACCCTCAGACACATATCCGCCACTAGTGCTCGCGAAGAATCTCTCTCTTTTTTCGGAGTCAGCAGAAAATGATTATTGAGAGATTCGTCATGGCGTCTGTTGAATACGATAGATGTTTCCAGTTACGACCGCCGAGCTTGCTACCACGCGCGTTCGTGGTCCTACCTGTAAGCTCATGTTGCTGCGTGTGTAAATTTAATCTACTTATGTTGCGTATGTAGAAGTTAGTAAATACCCTACGCTGCGCATGCCACCGTAAGCTACCTAATTGCAGATATGACACATCCTTGCATACATACGTATGTGACTATAAATTAAACTACGCATTCCGTGTGCAGTACGGACGAACAGAGCGTAGAAATTTTGCTTCGAGCATACGTAGATTATTACTGTTGGGGTTTTGTCAATGTGCGAGAAGCTTGAATTTTACTACACACATAAGAATCAGCAAGCGAGGTTGCTTCCACTGTAATCATCTATTTTCATATATATTTCTGATGATGAAATTACCATTATATTATTATATATTATATGATATAAATTATATATAATATATATATGACGTATAGTTTATGTACTATATACGTACACAAGCACATGAACACACATACATGCACGCACGACGCACGCACAATTACACACAATGTCTTCAAAGGTAACAATACAGTTGCCTTCGATACCAACTAGAAGGCGACACTGGGAAGTGCGAATCCGCCGCACACGCGATCACTTACACCGCTGTTGATATTTTGTAGGCCGAGGTTGCTAATTCTAATGGATGACGTTGACCTTGGTTAAAATATTACTCAAAATGATCCATGTGTCGAAATATATTAATGACTCTGTGACCTTGACCTTGGTCAAGGTCACTCAAATCAATATGGGTGTTCTACGGCTCCATAAGATGCACCTGTGGACCAAGATTAAGTTTCTACTCCGGTTTGCAAAGATATCGAGCGGACAGACAACACACCACCACACACACGCACGCACGCACGCACGCACACACACACACATACAAAGACCAAAACAATACCCTCCGCTACACTTCGTGCGGAGGATAATAATATTAAGTGCTTTCCGAAGATCAATCCGCTTATGATCCGAGCGCGTCCCAAAATTAACTTCTCTGTCGCACGTGTCACGCTCGTGATTACACGCAGCAAGGTACGCACGAGCACGCAGCAGAGCACACACGCACAATACGTACGCACGCCACGCCATACGCTACGCACCCAAACGTATACGCACGCACGCACGCACGCACGTATACGCACACACGCATACGCAGCACGCACGCGTACGAGACACACCACACGCACGCACGCACGCACAACAACACAAAAAACACAACGACGAGCAACGAAAAACAAATATACGCACGCGCGCAAATGACCCGCAACCCTTTACCTTTCAAGCCAATAACAACCAACATAAATTCGCACTGTTTACTAATATAAACAAAAATGTGCCACTCTCAAGATTTCAGCGGGCCGGTACACAACACACGCCAAACGCACCCCTCTTCGCGTCCCTCTATCTCTCTCCCGCACCATCTCTTTCAGTCTCCGCCGCCATTATCTCTACTCGGTCGTCTGTCGCTTCCCTGTTCTTCTTCCCAGCTCTCCTGCGCTCGCTATCTCCCACACCGACACGTATACTTACGAGGAAGGGCTGGGGCGTGGCCAGATAACATCTTATAAACGCAAAACATAATTATACTGATACATTACTGTATGACGGAAAGTAGAGAGACGCGGAAGGAATGCGCGAGCATAAGCTCTAGCTGGGTATCTTCGTTTCTTCTCTACAGCTCCGACGCAGGCCGTCGGCCCAGGGCAGACAGGCAGGCTCCCGACAGGCTATTAGGTCTATATGGTAGAGCTCGGGCATGGTACTCGATCGATAGCCTTGAACATATATGCCGTCGCGTACAGCAGCTAGCATATCCCACGAGTGTCGCTAATAGGCGAGAAGGCAGAGTAGTCACGGTATAGGCTGGCAGCGCATGTGGGTGTTGGCTACAACCGGTTCCCTCGGATGTTTAGTGTTGTGTAGAAAAGACGCTTGATCGCTCCGCTGAAACGTTCATACTATCCAAAATAGGAACACCATCCCAACGCTGAATAATCGGTGTACAGAATCCTCGGCATTTTATTACATAATTCCTTATCAAACCCGATAAAACAATGCATTGTGGTTTCGTGCTTGCGCTCATGCTTGCTGGGCTCGCCGTCGGTAAGTACAAAGACAATCATACTTTTATGTGTCGTACCAAGAGTATACGACGATATGTAACACATAATATGTACGTATGTGCGTGCATAATACGTATACCTTTATTTCATCATAGTTATTACACCATTCTTGTGATTTATTCAATCATTGCAGCCGTCTTCTAGCCCAAACTGTAGATTGTAGTGTGTGAGTCTGTGTCTGTGTAAGTTAGTGACATTGGAATTTCAATATTTCAGGCGATGCTCTAAAGTGCTACAGTTGCCAGTGGGGGAAAGAAAAAGGATGGAAACATATTCAGCAAAATAGGGGTATGTGTGCACAGTATGTCTAAAATACGTACACATACATTCGTCATGATATATCATGATATTAAAAGTAATGTACTGCATTGCTTTCAACGTTTTCTCTCTGGAGTAGAAATGTCATTCAGTGACGTCCACCCAGTGGACTGCATATGTGGTTCGTATAAATAACACAATATCAAATTTTTTATTTGCAGAAGGAATCAAGGATATAGCTATACTTGATTCTGACAAGTGTGTCGATTCATTTGGGCTTGACCCTGAGAAGGACACCAAATTTATCTTTGGATGTACTGGTTCATGTAGTAAGACCAAGGTTGTGGATGCAGAAGGTATGAGTATTAAAAATAAATATGAAGTATATATACGTATTTATTTATAAAAACAGTACCAATATGAGACATCTGACCAATTATTTTGGGACATAGTTAGCCTACGTTTTGCTATAGGGGCTCATGTCTCAAGAATGTGAGAACACCCATCTTCCTAAAAGATAAATGACTCAAATTTATTTGTTTTATTATGAAATACATCACTTAACCCCAAGGTTCGTAAACCGTAAAAATTAACAAGTGCCGCAGAACGACAGCGCTCACCTGATGGCATGTGTTCTGATGCTAAACTCACTGGCAAACGAATGAAAGCACGCCTCCCATCACCGCATTTGCGCTCAGAGCATATATCATAGGATACTATTTTAAACTACTAATACAGACCTAAAATCTATGATAGCTCAGGCTATTGGCTATACTCGGGATGTCAGTAGATAAAGATACCAGCTGGTAACTTTAATGACTTCAACTATCATTAACATGTTATCATGGAGTATGCGTCGAGCGGCGAGCCGTAGTGTGTGGTGGGGGGAGAAGTGGAGGAGGGGGCGGGTGAGGGGCCTCTAATAGACAACAGTTGCCGGCGAGATGCGCGTGCAAGTGTCATTCATAATCATAAGATGGCACTCACCTCTTTCGTGAATGATAACCTCACTCCATTGAGTTGCTGAAATCCAGTTAATTCAGACAGGCGAGAATTTCGTTCAGCTGTAGAGTTAACACATCTGCATGGCAAGTGCAGGCAACTAATTAGATAGAATCAGTGGCGAGTGTCACCCCCATGCAGATGCGTAATTGCCTGCCCCCATGTTTTATGGCACGTACACACCGAGCATCTCAGGATCAATTAACAGGTGTAGCTCACATCAGGGTGGCCCTAGCTCAGAGTGCTACTCAGGGTGCTAAAACAGAACTGCTTTTAAAAATAATATGATTTAAGGAGCGTAGACCTTGTTCAACAACATTGCCTTGCAATCTGAACGTGCAAACTTAGCTCACAATCGGCCAACAATAGCAAAACAGTCAGTTCCTTTGTTAACAGTCCAACAAATTCATGTTTAAACTCCTCCTCTTGAGGTCAAAAGGTATTCCGACACCTACCAGTGACGTTACCTCTCGCACTTCAAGCAAGAAAGTACATTTCATGGTCATTTCAATAAAGCCATAAACAGTGCCCGCAGAGCGCAAGTGCTCACTCGACGGCAGGTCTCTGATGCAAACTCAGGGGCAACGAACTAAGGAGCACCTCTCGCCATCGACCCGTCGCTCTCCGTCGTGTCTCTCATTCTTCTCCTTCGCTTGCTCTGTCGTCTGCTATCCTCTTCCCGCGCTCCTCCTCTGCCTCTCTCGCTTTGCTCTCATCCGCTCGATCACACTCTCTCTCTCTCTCTCGTCCTGCTCTCTCTCTCTCGTCTCATCTCTCATCTCTCTCTGCTGCTCGTCTTCCCTGTGACGCTCTCTCTCTCGCTCGCGTCACAGAACTCATCTCCCTCGTTGTTCTCTCTCTTCTTTGTCTTCTGTCTTCTCTTTCTCTCTCTTCCTCTTCCTCGCTCTCTCTCTCTCTCATCTTTCTCTACTCTCTCTGCTCTCTCTGCTCTCTCTATCATCTCTCTCTTCCCCCCTCCTCTCTTCCCTCCCTCTCTCTCTCTGCTCTCTCTCTCTCCTCTCCTCCTCTCTCTCTCTCTCTCCTGCTCCTACTCTCTCTTCTCTCTCCTCACTATCCTCATCTCCTCTCTCTCTCCTCTTCGCTTCTGCTGCTCCGAACTCCGCTCTGCCTCTCGACTCTCTCCCTCTCGCCCCTGCTCTTCTCTCCTTCTTCGCTCTCACGAGGCGGTAGCGCTGCCGGCACGAGGCTGTAGGCTTGATTTTCTATACAAGATCGTCTGATTTCTATCAGACTGATTGTCTGATGGGTCTTCTAAACCCTAGCAAGACAGTTTCGTGAGGCTGAGCAAGGCGGTAAACGTTTTAAATATAACTTCACATAAAGTGATTACGTCACGCGTAAATAGTATAAAGAATAAAAAAATATTGCCAGGAATTTTTGACAAATATAAGTAATTCTGTTACATTTATGTTATGAATTGCTGCATTAGCACTTCCTATTTTACTATATGTGGTGTGATTATCATATACACTCGATGGACCTCATACATACGCCCCCTAACAAGCAATTAAATGTTATACACATTCATTTCAAATCGTCCAGGTTTTTGGATTTAACTAGTATGAGAAACATCTTATCAGGTAAGATTTTTACGCATTGTTAGCTCGTTAGTTTCTTACTTTAATGTAAAAAAAATGGGAAGTTTTTTTTACGATAAATTGTACGCATATGAAACATTTCGTGACGTAATCCCTATAATAGTTTATACATAAGTGTAATTCGGGTGGCCACTCGCGGCAAGCCCATGATTATAGCTATGTTCAACCGGTTCTCCAAGCAGCGGCAGCGATGATATAGAAAATTATGAAAAAGCTCTAAAAAGCTGCTTGTCCAGCAACAACTACCTGACAGATCTACTTGTCCTCCTGGGAAATGGTACAAGTACGAACACAACGAGATAGCCCTTTTCAAACACGGGATGGTAATTCAGGAGCTTTCCGAAGAAATTTCGTTGAGGATACGTTATGAAAAGTGCCTACAGATGGCGCGTACGTTGGTAGCTGGAAAGCTTTCATCGACGTAGAATAGTAACAAACTATTTGCAAAGACAAGAAAGGGTAAGNGCCGACGCAGCCCAGTAGAGCGATAAAACCAGCACCCTCAGATTACGGTAAGCGGAGTTATAACGTCTGCCATTTGCGGACTAATTATAGTACCAGCAGGTACGTTCTGGTTATTATTATACCGGACCGTCATGGGGACATAGGGGACTCAAGGATAGAGAGCATGTCCAGTATAAACATCATCCTATGCTATCACCGGTCCTGATATCTCGATTATAATCATTTGACTGGGAACAGGCGACGCCTCTTAGCCTCCAAGAAACGGGTTAGTATCACCGGTAATAGACAATCCGTCGCACAGCCTGGGGGTTGGGCTAGGACCCTCTCAGCCTTAGTAAACTGCGCCTACGGTAATCTATAGCAAATCAAATGGATTAATAGTAATCAGCAAAGGTAATGGTATTACAGTATAAGTATGACGCAGGATAAATTATTACCGGCTTCCTTTGAATAAGTTTACGTCCAGTATAGGTAAAAAACCTCATGACACGTGGTCGTGAAGAACGCGGCCGCATGACACTGCAGTGTCACTGTCGCTGAGAGGGTATATGTCCCCCGGGTTACTGCCGGAACGTACCCTGGTACTATTTAATATGCCGGACCGTACCTCGTCTACTCCACTAACGAGTCTAGGGAGTCGCCTATGCCTACTCCCTAACGGGCCTAACCCTAACCATACCAAATAGTGACCAGGGTACGTTCCGGTATACCGGACCGTACCCAGGGTACTTTCCGGCCTAGCTCTAGTACTATAGCCGTATTAATGTAAGCGGCTATAGTACTAGAGCTATTTCCGGCCGTACCCTGGGGGATATAGACCCTATGAGTATGAGTATGAGCGTCACTGTCAGTGACATGATTCATGATGAGAGACTCAGAGTGAAAGTGAGTGAGAGTAGAACTGAACGACTACGAGTTTCCTTGGAAGTTGGGTTTTGAAATGACTGAGTCTAGAAATTACGCAAGCTCTGATATCTTCTAATATTATACGTCCTACACCTATCATGGATAATTACTTCTTTCTTGAAAAGTTACAACTTTGTTGGACAGCCATGTTTACGTGTGCTGTGGCGCCACCTGTTGTTACATCTTGTACCCTCTGGCTGTAACTTGCAGCTTTGCTTCATGATAATGTAAAAGATTCTATGGCTTCAAAGTTCAATATTCTTGAGTTTCGTGAAATTACGTTTATTGTTATTAGGTAACTTAATTAATAGTACTGTATACTACAACTGATACGAGAAATCTTGCCTAGTAAAACCATAAACAGAAATGATATAGACTTCACCACATAATTTCTATTACGTATTATCAGAAGTAGATTCCCTATTATCTACTTCTGGTATTATACAATCAATGCAACAAATACCCTCTGAACATGCAAAAAGCCAACAGCCTAAAGAGTAGTTTGATGTAGCATTAAACACATGTACAAGAAAATACCGTCAAAATATTACGATTTGCAATGGTACAAAAATACGATCACAAATCACTATCACATGTAATTACACTATGCATTCACACAGATATTTGTGTCTCTCCCTCGTCCACGCATATCGACCGAGGAAGCGTCGTAGAGTCACGCGACACAACCGTCGGCTTGCCGATCATAGACGCCATCACAGTCGCACGCCCGCGGCGACACGACATCGTGGCTCACCGTAACCCCCGACCTAACACACCCGTGCAGCAGCCTCGTGCCGCTCACGCCAAAAGAGAGAGAGAGAGAGAGAGAGAGAGAGAGAGAGAGAGAGAGAGAGAGAGATAGATAACATGCAGATAGCAGGGCAGTTGCTAATGATTCCTTCTCATTCATGTGTTTAGGAATGACAAGGTACACACGAACATGTGCGATTATTGCCTCCAAGGAAGATAAATGCTCGGATACTGAAGCAGCTGATGGTACCAAGACTACCGTGTGCTACTGCAACAGCCAGCACTGTAATGGTGGAGAGTCTGTCAGGGCACAAATCTCCGTGTTTCTGACTGCAATTGGATTGATGTATATCTACTTTTCCTAATCAGGTCAGATCACAATCGTCTACAATCAACCTGGTACTCTCTTGTAGGTGTTGATTTGATATCAGATAAGTGATTGTTCCTTGGAGGGCAATTACCCCCTGTCATGATGTAGTACATTAAATTTTCATATCGTTTTGCTAATAGAAATTCAACTACCTGCTTATCAGTGTAAAAAAGATAGATAGTTTGTGTGTGATATACTTATATACTAGGCTATTACATGACAGGTGAAATATCAATGTGGTTTTAGGATAGATGGTTTTTAAAATATAAAAGTTGTACTGCATATTAACAATGCAGCATGTTGTCCAAATATGCACTAGTGCTTATCTTTGTATTATTCTGATATCACATGCAGTAGGAAATAGCATATATTTGATTCTAATTATGACATATATATATATATATCCACAGTAAGAACCTAGTGAACTATATTCCATGATCACCAGTATTGTGCAGGCATCTGTTTCTTCTGTGATCTCTTATTAGCTCAAAAACGAAAATGCATGTACCTGGGGTGAACACCTTGTGTATGTGTTATTGGTCTGCAGAGGTAGCTCGTAAACTTGAGATTTTTTAAAGAATTTTGTGACAAATATAGTCCACTTTCGTGCATTCTGTGCATGAAAAGTTCTTTAGTTAACCCTGTATCCATCACTGGTTATTTTCCTAGCATGATCGTAGGTCTCACCTCACCCCTGACACATCTCACGTTAACCACTGATCGCTCATGGAGCTTGTGGAATGGCACTGGCATCAGTTCATAATAGCAATAACAGGAAAAATCACAACAGCTTTGCAATATATGCTATGCTGAAGGGTGTGCAAAAATTCACCACTAAGAGCAGGAAAATGTGAGTCACCAGTAGCGGATCCAGGGGAAGGGGCACAGGGGGCAGTCGCCACCCTAGAATTTTCAGGGCAAGGGTATTTTAGCTTAACACCTTCCCCCCTCGGCCGCTTTGTGCCCTTGAGCTCGCATGATCCCCCACTTGTCAATGCCATCAGTCAAACAAAGTGGTGATAGCCAATTTCTCCAATAACTTGAGACATAGGGTCAGTACTTTACAAGTTACATCCACACAACAGTATGAGGACTCTAAATGGCCTCACTAACATTTATTTGGGATATATATATGGTTACAAATCAGCTAGATTGAGTTTAAGCTTGGAGAAATCATTCTGACGAAGATTGATGTCAGAATGATTACTCCAAGGTTTCGGTCATTGATCAAAGGGAGGTTAATTATAGTGGCTGGAACCGCAGTAGTACAGAGAGTGGTCCGATTTTATTATTTAATATACTGAACAAGGATTTGTAGCGTTCGTCTCTGGGACGTAGGGCCATAGCGGAAAATAACTTTGTGTGTGTACATGTGTGCTGAAATACACTGCAGTGTAATATCAGCACTAAATTCATGTAAAGGTCAATGCTCATTAATAAATGTGTGGTTTATTTATTTTTATTTCTATCCATGGTCTGACAGGCCTAGTAAGAAGCATATATTTCCAATTATAGAAAGATGCAGGAAATGTATTTCTACATTTAAAAAAATTGTTTTATTGTACTGTACTTTAAATTTGATCTTTATAGTCGTAATTTCATTGCATTCTTCGGTGCCATATGCAGATGATTTTTTAATATACCGGTACTTTGATATGTTCTGTCCCTACTGTTGTATGGTGTGTTATTATGTGTTGCCAGCCTGATTACATTAATTGTGTACTGCAAAAGCCATTGTAACATGTGAAAGGTCAGTGCTATGAAAAAGTTCCATGGACCATGGTGCTTTGGTTCTGTGGTTGCAGCCTATACATAATGCCAGCATGCACAAGATTATGAGATTACCTTCAAGCTGCATGGTAGGCGTATTTAGATAGCCAACCTTTCTTATAGCTGGTGCATATATACTCTCAATTCATTGTTTCGCGCTCTCTCTCCTAATCCTATTCTAACCCTCTGCATTCCCTTTTCTTTGCTACCCGCGTACAGTTTTGTTGCTTCCATTATTCTACCAAGGAAGGGCTCTACTTTCAGCCTTCTTTTCATTTGCTTTCTTCCCTAACACATAGATCGACTTCTTTGTCTTCCTCTCGTACCTCCTCATACAATTAGATCGCTGCCTTTCCCACCTTTTCCACCACCACCTCCATAATCTTATTCCCTACCTTATCCTCCACAATCTTTTGTAAATTCAACCATCTGTGTCTAGATGAAAACCAATGCTATTATTATGGTACATAATGTTGTATTTTAGACTGCAACTAGGCTATGTCAGTATGTGCAAAACACAATGATCGTTTACTCTGCGTATATCTATTATATATGCTATTTGAATTTTGATATAATTATACAGTTGTCATTTTAATAATTGTATTTTATGTGTGAATTCGATGCAACATCGAGCAATGATAATGATAATTTTTATTTTTATTCACGCTTGTAAGCATTTTACAGCGTAGGTATATGTCCGATCATAGGTCCGATACAAAATTTCACTGTAGTGTAGGCACACAGCTTCTAAAGTAAATAAAGGCAACTTTGAAGACAATAATTTATATTGACTTGTTTTCATATCTGTAGATATCATATGATATCATTCTTTTATCGGCTTAAATGCATATACGTACCTGAACTATTTTGTCGGTGGTCAAACCGTACCTATATTATTTCGACTGTATTATTTGTATGGTCAAATTGGTCAAACCTTGAACCATAGACCAAAGATGGCACTGCCACTGACAGCCTGAGGCTCATAGGGTCTATGTCCCCCAGGGTATAGACCAATAAATTGCAGGGCTGCCAACCTTGAGTAAGAGTTTTGCGTGAGACATTGCGAGGGAGCGGAGCGACCAAGCCCAAGAGAGCGAAGAGACCGAGGGGGGAGGGTATGGGAGGGTGGAAGCCCCCCTCCCATGGTAGGGAGCTTTTGCAATTTTACATTTGAAAGGGTGCAATCTGGTGCATACTTTAGTCATGATTTCAACACATACATAGAAGCAGCATTAATGTACTAAATTGACTTGAAAAAGTAATAAATATATTACATTGTTATTAATGCTGCATGTAGTTCACTGACCATGAAAATTGCAAAGTTCCAGATTTGCAACTGCAGTATTCCAACTCAAATGTCTTTATTAGCTCTGACTTTTACGTACCGTGAAAGATCCTGCTGTCCGGCCGTAGAGGGATGTGTGTTTGGTATGGCATGCACAATAGTCCGCTAAGCCTAAGTCGTCACACGTCGTACACGTACGTACAGTCGGACAAGCAGTATAAACCAATCGTAATCCAATAGCTCGTCTTTGCGCGGCAACGATTTTCATTGGTTAAGCTTTGCGCGCAGTGCGCGCCTGCGGGAAAATCTCGGAACTTTGGGCTTCCAAGGGCATGATATCGAATGTTCGGAATCCGAATATCAGAGATTTTGGAGATATATATTTTTTTACTTTCTATTTTCGGGGTTCAGCGTGAGAATTCGTTTATCGCAAATCACAAATGTCGCTTTTTTACATGGCGCCCAAAACAAAGATTGCAGAGCTGAAAGGCGGGGGGAGCATAGGGTGTGGAGAAGGAAGCGGAGGAACCATTAAAAATATTGAGTCATCCACTATTTTGCGCACTTCGCTGTAAAATTTCATGTAAACATCGACCACCTGTGTCCGTTCCGCAAATAGAAATGATTGAACGAATGCCACACACACTAGTACACGTGAACCACATTGATTCACACGAAGTAACGCTCAAT